TTCACCACAACTCCCTGGGCTTGGCCGTCCAACCAGTTCCTTGCCCAGCAAAGAGTGAACCTGTCTAAGCCACGAGCCACCCGTTTCTCCAGGAGATGCTGTGGGAGACGCTGTCAAAGGCTTTACTAAAGTCCAGGCAGACACCATCCATAGCCTTTCCCTCATCCACCAGGCGGGTCACCTGGTCATAGAAGGAGATCAGGTTGGTCAAGCAGGACCCGCCTTTCATGAACCCATGCTGGCTGGGCCTGATCCCTTGGTTGTCCTGCAGATGCCCTCGGAGCACTCTCAAGACGAACTGCTCCATGATCTTCCCCGGTACGGAGGTCAGGCTGACAGGCCTGTAGTTCCCAGGATCCTCCTTCTGGCCTTTCTTGTAGATGGGTGTCACATTGGCAAGCCTCCAGTCCCCCGGGACCTCCCCTGTTAACCAGGACTGCTGATAAATGATGAAGAGTGGCTTGGCTTTCAATGTCACTGTGCTCCTTTCAGGGGACTTTGCCAATCCCCCCTTCTCCCCGCACCGTGCAGGCTTTCATTGGCCACGGGAGCAGCTGTTACACAAATAAAACTGATTCTCTCTGAAATAAGACTGCCTTTTTCAAAAAATACCATTCAGGGGGGTCGTCCTGGGAGCAGGACCGTTCTTAAGGTAGGAGATAACATGCACTGGTTGTGTAGTCTTCATCGGGGTATTTGCAATGAAGTCATAGAATTTAAGACATGGTGGCAATATAATTTGTCTCAAGAAATGTTACTGTCTGTAATGAATGTATAGGTGCATGAGGACTTGTGTTTTTCCTGCTCTAAGAACTTGAAATATTAAATAACAGAAAGTACAATCATCTCCCTGGTATTTAAAGCTGGGAGATTGGGGTTAAATACCTGTTGTGAACTGGAATACCCAAATACTATAATTTTAGGGACCAAACAAAAGAACAAGTGTATTATTACAATGTTATTATGGGACACATGCTAACAGTTAGTAGATATTTAGATCCGGTTAAATACAGATGTACTGAACGAGATGTCGCTGCAGCAAAGTTTAGTTCTTCATATTATATGTCCACGGTGAATCATAATCTTTCCTAGTGAGGGGGTTCAAATGAATGATTTTAGTATCAGTGGTGGTGAGCTAACGTAATTAAAATGTCCAAAGTTTCAGTTTTATTAAAATGCATTTATATGTTTAGGAATAATTATTTTATGAACAGCCTTGCCCATTGTAATGAAAATCTGTTTAGTGGTTCCTTGCTTTGAGTAATTTATTTTCTAAACAGACTAGTGAGGTATAATTTTTTTATTAATTATGTTTTTCCAGTATTTGATGTCAGTCTGTCAATCTGGCTATGTAAAACTGGAGAGTGTCTGGTTTCAGAGCTTGTTGCAGAAGTGGTTTGTGACAGTAAAAACATGGAAACCGTTTTGATTTGAGAGCTGATTTACCATTCCCCCATAAAGTTACTAGGTCTCTAAAGTCACAGTTTCTTTCTGCCGCTGGCTTTAGACGTGTGGAAGTTATGGATTTATTTAGTTACCTCCAGCAGTGGCAAAACACTCCTGCATGAATACATTTTTCAAAAGGAGAACGTGGTGATATTTTTCTCTTCCTAGACGGCAGATGACCCTCCTCCGCTGCGACTGTGGCTGCTTCCCTGCTGCCGGCTGAAAGGTCTGGCTCCTCTCTGCCTGCCTGCGCGGAGCGCTGCCCTCCCGCGCCAACCGCCCCGGAGTGAAACTCTTCATGGTAAGGCTGGCAGGGGCTGGTCGTGAGCAAATACAAGCCTGTGACAAAAATCAGCGCCCGGTGTCGGGTTCTAACGCGACACATGCATGGAGAAGGGATAATTTATCCTTTGCTGGAGCCGGTAGGGTGAAGAATGGGTTGAACGGCAGCAGTCATCAGTGGGGATTTTGTGTGGATAATCAATTTTCCATGATATGATTTATTTTTGTGTGAAAATGAAAAAGATCATGACCCCTTCCTCTAAAACTGAATTCTTAAAGATTTAAAAATTATAATCCAGCCCCCAAATACCTGACTTTGAGTCAGACCTCCTTTTGCCCTCTGGATGGCAAGGATAGTCAGCGTTTCTCCTGGTGACTTTTTCATGTAATGAAGTGCCTTAGCTGTTAAGGAAGGTTAGATTACAGGTTCAGCAAGAAAGAGAGTCTGTTCCATGTGTATTTACAAGTCAGTACACTGGTTTAAAAAAGAAACAAAGATGCTTTATATGACAAGTCATCTGAGAGGCTTCATCTGTCCTATAGGAAAAAAATTGTGCTTCTTACTTTGTTCTTTCTTCCAATGAAATTAAAAAATAAAATAAAATAAAAAATAAAAAGAAACGACCTGAAAGTTTACACTAAAAGAATATGCAAGTCCAGAAAGTCAGTCAGTAACAAAGAAAAAATCAACATAAAAACTTTGGAATACTTCATGTTTCATTTTGTTTCCCTTTATTCTTTTAGAGCAAAACTTTTTATAACATGCAGTTGTGTTGGACTTGGAAATCGTTACTGAATTATTCCTAATCATACACTCAGAAGAGAGACCTCATGTCAGTGGTCATGTAAGTCTCAGTCAGTCCCTTGAATTTCTACTGATACCCGTGGAAGCACTTCCAACCACAGCTAACAGGGGCATTTACCAGAGTGAGTGCTCTGTAGGGTGATGGTCAATAGGGGTGAGCAGGCAGGAGGTTTTGCTAACTTTCCTTTACTTTCCCCATAAAAATCAAGGCTTTGTAATGGAGTCCTGCAGGCAGATGCCCACCTGTGCCTGACACTACTCACGTGGGTCTTCTGCCTTTGTGCGGAACATGTGGGTGCAAAGGGTGTTGCGCAGCAATTTGGTACTGTGTTTGTCTTTTCCTACAGCTGCCAACATGTGGAGCTCCCCGGGGCCCGTGTCGGCATTGGTGATGCTGGTTGTTACCGCCGTGCATGCAGGAGTGAAGGTGACCCCAGCTGTGAAGTACACGAAGACGAAGCCCTTGCAGCTGCTGGGCGATGGTGCCTCTCACACCCCGCTAACTCCTCTCGCGGGGAAAAGCCCGTTCCTGGCAGCACTGGGCAGAGCTGAGTTACCCACCCCGAGCCCCACCGCTCGAGGGGCCCCCAA